ATTTTTAGTCCATCCATTTCTTCCCTGCTTTGCAACTTTCAGTCTTTCTCTTATGTCCCAAACCTTTTGATTTTTCCTCTCTTGTTTCTCTATGGCTTCTTACTCCAGGGATAGGGGGTGTAGCTATAGAAAGAACAAACATTTTAAGGAAAGAAAAAAAGTAAATATATATAAAACACTTTTAATTCCATTAATAAAGCAAATACAAATTTTACTCGGAGAAAAGAGAAATAGAGATTAAACAGTGCAAAAAAAGAACAGAGAAAGCAAAATACATAACGAAGCTACTCCCATTCTTTGTCAAAACAAATATAACGTAATATTTCTTTACTCCATATGGTTACAAATATCTCTTCTTCCATGAACCCATCCCTTATCTATATGTAAAACATTGACTTTCCACTCCTGATATCAGCAAAAAGTCCATAAAGGTTTTCCAGAGCTTTATAGAAACATGTCTTATTTTAATCCCGGTCAAACCAACCAACTCTACATTCTTTCTTTTTACTTCTAACAATCTTTCTTTAATTCACTCATGGATAGGATTTGATCTCTCTTCAATTTTTCTTTCCCTACCCCCACCCCAAAGACTTTATCAAAGCTGTACCAAAACTGTTGAGACTATATTCTAAGTACAGTCTAAGTCCTGATCCAAACTCTTAACTCTTGTAGTTAAAGTAAAAAGTAAATAACCAAAAGCACCATTGCATAAACAGGCACACCTTGCTCTCCCCTCTGTGTGTGACTAGCTTACCAACATAAATATGCTTGTAAAACTAACCAAAACCCTTTTGCCACCAGTGAAGGATACATGGTGTTGACATGCTCTGACAAATTACAGAGCAAGAACATTGGCTCAGACAAAGATGCCTGAAGGCACATGGAACCCAGAACAGTCCCCAGTCCTTGCATGTGCCAATAACCTTGACAAAGACGAAAGAGGCTATGTTTCGGTTTAATTGCTTTCCTTTTTTTTAACTGATTCCCTCAAGTTTACGAAACACACTTGGGAGCTTATAAATAGTTCTTCCATTAAAAAAGCCCCAGAAAAAAAATGCTATATGCAAGGGGCCCTTAGTTGTTCATGTGCCTTAGTTGTTCATGTGCAGCTGTGCTGCAGCTGCCAAAAAAGCCAACACAGTGCTGGGCTGCATTAACAGAGGGATAGAATCAAGATCACACGAAGTATTAATACCACTCTACAAGGCCTTGGTAAGGCCACACTTGGAATACTGCATCCAGTTTTGGTCACCACGATGTAAAAAAGATGTTGAGACTCTAGAAAGAGTACAGAGAAGAGCAACAAAGATGATTAGGGGACTGGAGGCTAAAGCATATGAGGAACGGTTGCTGGAATTGGGTATGTCTAGTTTAATGAAAAGAAGGACGAGGGGGGACATGATAGCAGTGTTCCAATATCTCAGGGGCTGCCCCAAAGAAGAGGGAGTCAAGCTATTTTCCAAAGCGCCTGAAGGCAGGACAAGAAACAATGGATGGAAACTAATCAAGGAGAGAAGCAACCTAGAACTCAGGACAAACTTCCTGACAGTTAGAACAATTAACCAGTGGAGCAACTTGCCTCCAGAAGCTGTGAATGCTCCAACACTGGAAGTTTTTAAGGAGAAACTGGAAAGCCATTTGTCCGAAATGGTATAGGGTTACCTGCCTGAGCAGGGGGTTGGACTTGATGATCTCCAAGGTCCCTTCCAACTTTATTATTATTATTATATTCAAGATGGACAGTATTTAATATTTATTTGTTATGTATATGTAGGGGTGTGGGTCTATACATATGTTATACATAGTATGTTTAGGTGTGTCATGTATGTGTTTCACTTTGAGAACGGGCAACTAAATTTCATTTTTGATGTGTGCCATTGTGCCCACAGTAAAAAAATGACAATAAAAGTTATCTTATCTTATCTTATCTCTTATCTTACCTTACCTTACCTTACCTTACCTTGCCTTGCCTTGCCTTACCATGATTTCCCACAAATGCCAAAGCTGGGGGCCCTTTACCATTCTCTAGTATATAGATCACCATGCTATAACACAGAGCCAGACACTCTAATACAGTGTTCTCAAACTTGGCAAATTTAAGATGTATAGACTTCAAATCCCAAATTCCCCAGCCAACATAAAAACACTGCTTTAATATAAGCCTCAGTTAACTTTCTTGTCTGAGACTGCATAAAGAAGGAGAAACATTATAGAACTGTCTCAGCAGAAAAATCTGACCGAAATATCATGCCTACTTTGTTCACTATTGCTAGAGGATAACTTGGGCAAAACTCTAATTATGTGCATGGCATTTATTGTATTCCAGGATATTAAGATGAAAAAACGTGACTTGTCTCCCAAGTGATTTCCTCTCAGCAATTGCAAATCAACCAGATATTTCATATTTGCCAGCCTGCTTTTTTCAATAGGGAATATCTAGCTACTACAGTGGTACTTAGTACTCAGTTGCTTTCAAACTCATTGAATTTGGTACTCAATACATTTTGATGCAAAAATGTTGTCCCGGTACTCCTCATTTGTTTGGCACTCGACACACAAGCTAGAACTGGTCGGTGTCAGCTGCTTTGTGACTCACTACATTATTCTTTATGGGGAAAAAATGTTTAGTACTCATCATTTTTGGTACTCATCATGCTTCCTGGAACCCAATTAACGAAGAGTACTGAGGTACCACTGTATAACTCTCCATCTCTGACTTTCAACTCTTCTAATATCTGTCTAGCATAGCTACTATTGTACCTTTGGGAACTGTTCTAGTACATGCAAGAATTCAGGCAATCTAAAAACACTGGAGGCTGCCCGACCTCAGTAGATTTCTTGAAAAATTTGAACTCTGTTCCAAATCCCTCAATGACGCATGTGAAAAATCACATCCAAGTGATCAGAATTTCACTTCCATCACCCATTCCCCCCCCCTGTATTATATGCAATCAAATTCTCATGCAGGAACTTCTGAATGGAACTTTAATTCAGGCGATGGGTGGCATCATTCCCGCTACACTCGTTGAGAAGGAAAATCAGGGATTGTTATTTAACCACCAGCTGACATTAAAAGCATAATAAAGACAATCAACCTGATTTATAGCTTGGGAAAAATTCCAGGGGAGTTTTCAGCGATTCATTCCAATGGGTTCTGTGTTAGAATGGCTTAGGACATTGGCTGGTTCCCCAGAAAGAGATTTGGAGAAGAAACCTAAGCTGTCAGCTGGAGTTTTCCACCTGGGCTTCCACTACATTAAACCCGGATGCCGCAAATGAACACATATGCACACAGCCCCACACGTTTCACCAACTAGTAGACTAGTAGAAAAGAAAAGAAAGGAAGAGGAGAGGAGAGGAAAGGAAGAGGAGAGGAGAGGAGAGGAAAGGAAAAGGAAAGGAAAGGAAGAGAAAAGAAAGGAAAGGAAAAGGAAAAGGAAAGGGAAAGGAAAATGAAAGGAAAGGAAGAGGAAAGGAAAGAGAAGGGAAGGGAAAGGGAGAAGGGAAAAGGGGAAGAGAAGAGAGGGAAAAGGAGAAGGGAAGGAGCCATACTGTAATCCTCGGAAGCAATTTCCCCATTTCTGTCTATCTTCCGCAAAACATGTCCAATGTACAGACTTCCTCTGTGAGAGAGATGAGTGGATCTTACATTTGATAAATAAATTAATCTTTAGAACTGTTTGATCAGCTATATCAGTTGCTTTGAAAGCTGCAACTCCAACTTTCCTGTACCCGTTCTCAGTTGTGGCTTCAGGTACAAATATCTATAGGGTTATTTTTATGTGGTAGGGGAGATGCTTTGGAAAGATGCAGTATAATCCTGCATCCTATGCCACAGGGATAATTCCAATTTGCTGGAATGCATTTTGTATTTTAAATTTAATTTAATAACTTACCTCGCAGGGAGACAGAGACTAATTAATTATATGCCGATTGGGCAGTGCATGTTTTTTAAAATGAAAAAGGCATAAAGAAATAGTTAGGTGCAAGAATGCATAGATAGGAAGGAAAGAGGAAAATGGAGGGTTCAATTAATATATTTTTGGAGGAAAAAAAACCCCAACTTTGATAATTTTGACCCGTCATCAAATCACATATTTCCAGATAATCACAAATGGCCCATCTATGCTAAGAGGTCCTTTGGCAGGCTATTGATTTGTAAAAATCTACTTTGAAACTGTTCTATAAATACCCTTTTACTCCGGTTGAACATTCAGGGAAACTCTGATGTCTTGAAGCAAGAGAACTGTCATGAATTAAATGAGGTATAAAAATTGATGTGGCTGTCCAAATTACACAATTAAGAAAAGGAACTGACTCAGAGAACTATACAAAAGGGGAAAAAACATATAAAAAGAGCTGCAGTCAAATGAAAGGATTCCCTACGATTTAATAAAAAGACCCATTTCTTTTTTTCTGAAAAAGGACAATTCATTTTTAAGGGGTGAAATTGTAGTCTGGGTATTTGAAGTCGTTTGGCTGCTTTTTTATCACTTCATAATCAGATAAACAAGAGATGTATTTGTTTTTTTAAATATATATATCTCAAAGTTGGATATTCACAGCTACTGCAAGATGATTAAATAGCAGTTGGGATAGTTAATGGACCTGAAACGGAAATTAGAATCGGCTTCACGGATTGAAAGGGTGGCTGGTAATTAAGCAACTCTTATAAAACTCGAGAGACTTGGATGAGATGTGCCAATGCACCATGCAACAAAGAAATTGCCTGCAATGAAGAGGCAAAGAGTCTCTCCCGTTTGGAGAGGGTGAGCTTCAATTTGCACTGTGGGAAATGCAGCTAGATGCGCCTTAAAAATCTGAATCAAAGCCTCCATTTCTTTGAAGGAGAAATGGGGTGTAGCAGGCTGCATGAAAACAACCCATTCGATTTGTTTTCTTTTAGTAAACCATGGTTAACGATGCCAGTGCTTAGCAACTATGTGCGAATCTAGTCCGTATCTTTGCAAAAGATTTGACATAAAATGGTGTCGTTGCAGGAACACATATTTAAAGGGAAACGAAAGGAAAGCAACGTCCAGCCTAAGAGGGAATCTCCCTGATGCTATGCCTTTTCCTAAGAGTCAGTTTTCCTGAATCTTGGTGAAGCTGCCATATTCCAGGAACTGAGCAACAAAGCCAAAATCCAGGGTAAGTCTCATAAGAAACGCTCCGATCACAACAGCTTTTCTAACATTTGACTTGATCTGTAACAGCCTTTCCGAATCTGTTTTCCTCAACTGCCCTTGCAATGTAATCAAGATGCCTTTTCATATCATTAAGAAAAAAAATTCTCAATCTTTTTCAGAAATCGTGGGTGCTCCGTCCCTGGAGATTTTTAAGAAGAGACTAGACAGTCACTTTTCTGAAATGTTACAGGTTCTCCTGCCCGAGCAGGGGGCTGGACTAGAAGACCTCCAAGGTCCCTTCCAGCTCCTGTTCTATTCTATTCTATATTTTGGATCGTGACTGCTCCATTGGAATTTAAGTACTTCAGCTCTGCTTCAATAGTAGTTATTTATAAAATTCTTTGTAGATGCTACTTCAAAGCTAGAATGTTCGCGATGATAGGTTTTTTTTGTACATTGTTAGCATCTTTGAAATATTCGCAACCATGGAAAGCTGACTTACCAAGGAAATATTCGTAGCTCGGGGTTGGTCCTTGGTGCTCTCTGAGCTGGGTTGTTTTCTTGCACACATTTCATTACACAAACTAGGCGTTAGTGAAGCTAGCACAGATGATGTTACCTAGTTGGGTAATGAAACATCTGCAAGAAAACAGCCATCTCAGAGATCACCAAGAACCCTTCCAATCTGACTTACAATGGGCCACTTTTTCAGTCCAGCAAATTCTGCTTTAATAATACTGATTTACAGGAGATTTCTAAGATTTGGGGTTTTTTTAAAGCCCTATTTAGATATGCAGGAAATGAATTGGAATCCTTTGCAGAGAGAGTTACATTCTGGCCACTGAATCAGAGCCTTCTCTGTGTGTGAGCATAATCAAAAGCCTGGGGATGGTGTGTGAAAATAATTAATGTGACAGTAGTGACCTGATATTTAAAAAAAAAAAAACCTCATCCCCTGCAGAAAGAAGTTCTTACCTTTTGATCTACAGTATCTGTACTCTTCCAATTACATGAAAGAAAATGTGCTTCTGAAATTTCTTTCAAAGGAGAAGAGAATTTCTGATCAAAACTCATGAATTGGGTAGAATGTCGTTGCATTTATTTAGCAACAGAGGGATCAAGGAGTCTATAATTGTCCTTTCTTTTCTTACACAATTTTCTCTTTGCTACTTCCCTGGTTTCCAGTGACCCAGAGTGTTGGGGGCAATATGCTGACTTTGTAAACCGCTTAGAGAATGCTGTAAAGCATTATGAAGCAGTATACAAGTTTAAGTCCTGGGTAGGGAACCTTGGCTCTTTTATGACTTGCGGACTTCAACTCCCAGAATTCCCGAGTTGGCCAAGGTTCCCTACCCCTGATCTAAGTGCTATTGCTATATTGTTTTTTTTGCTACCCACGATGGTTTCATTGTGGTGTATTGTTGTTCTTATTTTATTGCAGTCTGACTTAGTGCTATTTTGGTCATGGAAAAATAGAAGATAATTGCTTCTAATAAATATGTGCCTAGCCTGTTTCCTACTGGTAAGGTTTCCAGAATCTACTCTCAATTAAAAAAAAAAGCAATAAAACAGTGCATTATTTATCCTGGAACATTAAGTTAGCAATGTCCATTAAAAACAGAATAATGAACTGCAGAAGTCATTTTGATCAATTATGTCTACCCAATTCCAAAAACAGTTTGGCATACATTTATTATTATTTCATATCCTCCCTTTGGGAAAAACCACGCAGATTTTAAAAAACAGGATATAGGAACTGGGCCACTAAAAACATTTTAAAAATGTTGACTGAAACAGGAACTACTTTAACTTCATATTAGATGAAATGATTATAGATATATCAAGCCACCACTAAAAAAAATGACCTGTCATTGATATCCATCAATCTGATGAAATTTACTGAAGTAAATTGGGGTCTCCAACGTTAATACTGGGAGAGAGAGAGAGATATATCAGTGCAGAATTCCTTAAACTTGCATTCTAGGGGGGGGAGGGGAAAGAATTCTAAAGATGGTGCATGGATGATTATTTATTTATTTATAAAATTTATTGGCCTCCCATCTTACTATATAAGCTAACTCTGGGCAGCTTACAGACATAAAAAATGCATCAACGTTAAAAGAAGAGCGAATTAAAACCAAGATGAAAATCTATTTGTTCAATCAACCAAAAGATCATTGGAAGTTCCCTCCCTCCCATCCAGGACATAGCACAGAAGCGTTGCTTGAGCAGGGTCCGTAAGATTGTCTGGGACGCTACACATCCTCTCCACGACCTGTTTTCCTTGTTCCTTTCTGGGAGGAGGCTTCGTGGTATCCGTAGCAGAACATCCAGATTCAGCCATAGTTTCATTCCATACGGCATTAACGTTGCGAACTCTCAAGCTTCCTCCTTCCATTATATATTCAAGACAGACAGTATTTAATATTTATTTGCTACGTATATGTAGAGATGTGGGTCTATACATATGTTGTTCATAGCATGTTTAGGTGTGTGTCATGTATGTGTTTCACTTTGAGAGCGGGCAACTAAATTTCATTTTTGATGTGTGCCGTTGTGCCCACAGTTAAAAAAAAATGACAATAAAGGTTATCTTATCTATCTTATCTAATATTGTCACTTCCTGCAGGTAAAAAAAATCATGGTAGCAGCAGGAATTAACCCTGATGTGGAGAGACACAAACAATGGAAGCACCATCTCCTGAACCAGCCTTTGTCGATGTGGATAAAGGACTAACTTTGGCGTGTATTGTCTTCCTCTGCCTTTTTCTCATTGTCATGATTATCCGCTGTGCCAAAGTGATCATGGACCCTTACAGTGCCATCCCAACATCCACGTGGGAGGAGCAGCACCTGGATGACTGACCAACATGAGGGCTTGGGGACAAGGTGGTCCCCAGCCCTCTACGCATTAGACCAACCAAGGACTTGGTGCAAGAAAGCACAGCTTCAGAGGCCACCTTCCCAGGATGAGAGCACTAAATATAACTCCTCTTCACACCAAGATGCTTACAGCAATGGTGAAGTTTTGAGAGCACACTGATTACAACTCTGTGCAGATCTACTTGAATTCTTCAGCCCTTCTGATCTATTGCTATGCTTTCTCTCTCTTCCAGGTTTTAATGAGAGCAACTATGATGATTCCATTACACCAAGTAGCACAAATGCTCTTTCGATACTATAACTCTCTTTCAAGCTTTCTCTAGCGTAATCTCTACTTAACAACTTTGGCTGTGTTTAAATCCAATATGTGCAACTTTATCCAGACTGCTTAGCAGTTGAGTAGGGCCTGGGCGGTGTCATCCTTCCCCTACATAAGGCAAAAGGTGTATGCGGTCCATGAAAAACTCAAAATATTGTTTCTGGATTCATGTCAGTTTAGTATTCATGAGATTATATTAATTAGATCCAGCTAATAGGCTTAGTCGCTGTATATCTTCCGTAGAATTAAAGATTGGTAGCAATTATGGAAAGGTCTCTTTCGGCCACTCTCAAGGATTTACAGGTTCAGGTTATGCACCTACGATTTAAGTCATTATTTCAAGTGGAATCATACTCTACACTTGCCGTGCATCCACAAATCCAAGGGTAAATTGGTCAGTGAGATCGTTTTTAACAATAAGAATACTTAAAACATGTAGTGAAAGGATGAAGGATTTTACTCCATCAAATAACAGCCTTACGTGGCCACTTTTGCTTCTTCTTTCTTTAATGAAAAAATGTACCGTCCTAAGAGACGTACAAAATCTAAATACCCTTAATGAAATCATTGATGTAGGGAGGATGAAAGTCACCCGAAAAAGAGAACAGATGTGGGGAAACCAAGGCAAAACATGTGAAGGGGGAGAAAGAGGAAAAAGTGTATCAATGATACACAATTTGTTGGTGAAAGAACCTGGTGAACAAAAGAACTTCTATGACCCTTAAAGATTTATTGGAACATAAATCAGTAGGAGTCAAATGTTCACCAGATGCTTGATTAGCCTTAACTGACTGGTATAGAGCTGGGATAAGAGGTTGGGGATAAGAATAGAAAAATAATGTAATTCTTTATAGAACTATTCAGTACATTTTTTTTTTCAGCTAGCTTACATGGCTAACATGCCTGTGTAGGACGATGTAATTTTTTAGAAATGAGCTGACGAAACCAGACCTATGAAGATTCTCAGTCATCCAGGTCATGGTTGTCCCAAAGCTGATTTTTCAAAAGGCAACTGAACTTTGTTTTTTTTTTCCCTTGAAAAAGATGTTTTGCTTCTCATTCAAAAAGCTTCTTCAGTTCAGAACTGAAGCAGCTTTTTTGGATGAGAAGCGAAACGCCTTCAAGGAAAAATTAAGCAAGTCCAGTTGCCTTTTGGAAAAAGCACATTTGGGACACAATTGCTATGGCATTCCTAAAATATATTTGCCAAGAAAGTATCAGGAAATCCAAAATCTGTACGTGTCCAAAAAGTGTTTCTTAAAAACATTGACTAAAAAAAAAAAAGAGAGAAAACTGCAATCAACACAGTGTTTGTATGTTTCTTTACATCAAACAAAGATAGAAATATCTCCAAACGTCTCCATTTTGTATGTTTTGTCAAGGACACCCTCTTAGATCGTTCTGGCAGGGAGGATTGTTCCAGAACATTCACCAAAACCAATCCGGTGACTTTTTCCCTGACAGTACCCTGAAAAAAGAGAATCATATCGACAATTGTTAACCAATTTTAGAAAATTGCCCTTTTCTGGTATACTCCATTACATCCCCTCCTTTACGTGCATTTCCCTTCCTTCCATCTCGGCCTACTCATTCTGCGGCCACAAACCAGACGTTTGAGGGGATATTCCTCCATCTGAAAGATGATTAGTATTATTGTATTGGCCAAAATCCTGAATTTCCCAAAATTGCTTTGATCTGTCTTGAATGTAGAAGATTATGCTTTGGCTACACAACAATAAGCATGGAGAGTTTGTACCTATTTGGAATCAGGTTACTTAGGAATTAACAGTCGAGATTATTTCACCAGAGAACAAAATCAAAGAAGTGCAGGCATGTGGAACAAATCAAACATGTTTTCCCCCAATCCCTGCAACTATATTATAAATCTAACTGACGAGAAAAACTGCGATCCAGCTCAGTTTTTTACTCAACATGCCAACAATGCCTTTGAGAGAGAACCAACCCACCCCCAAGCTGCAACCAGAATCAATATTTCCAGAGGCCAAAATGGATGAATATTTGTTTACAGGGGTCAATCATCAATCCACTGAGATCTTGGGCAGCAAACAACATGAAAAGGTGAATAAAGGCAAATATACGTGTCCCGGGATAACGTTGCAAGACCCAAGCTGGGTCGGTCACTAGAACCAGAATTTTAATTTTCTGAACTTTGGGACTCATGCTGGAGCCCATCTGCAGGGAATTTCTCTCTACTGGAATGAATAATGATGGAAGCCTGGGAAACAAGCCCCTTGTCAATCAATAGGAGCGCTGATTTATCGCCAGCTTATCAAGTACTCAGGGGCTGAGAGCTTGGCAGCCCAAGGAAACAACAGCCACACCAATCAACCAATGGGAAGGCACCACATAAATACGACTCATAGAATAGCCCAAGCACATATTTCAGGAGAGAAAAGTTCCCTGAGATGGGTTCCAGCATGAATCCGAAAGTTCAGAAGACTAAGCCTTTGGTCCCGGTGGCTGACCCTGATTCGATCTTGTAACATGAAAACATATCCAAATCATTCAAAAACCAGAAAAGACGCAGGCTGAGGCCCCTATTAAAATCTCAGTTCCCAGAAATCTCAGGGACATGCTCCAGAGCTCCCATGAATTAACATCCTGGCCCCAATATCGATGAATAAACACTTCCTTAAGATTTCATATCAGCTTCTTTCTTCCCATCCAGATGTTTCTCCCCTGTCAGGTTTTTTCCCATCCAGCCCAAGCTAGAGATGCACAGCTGTTCTCCCTGTCTCCATTCATGTTTGCTTACCTGTCATAATGACCTCATCTCCGTCCTGCAAGAATGTTCGGGACTGACCATTCCCCAGATCGATACTTTTTGTCCCGTTCCAGGACAGTTCCAACATGGACCCGAAATTCTCAGGTTCCTTCAAAAGCAGAAACCGGAACAAGAAAACTGAGCATCAATTGGCGATGTAACTATTGCCCTGGCCTCTATTTTGCAGAAATTAAGGCTGGGATTTGAAGAATGAAACTCCTGTCAATCCTTGACCATCATTTAATATTTTATTATCTGGGAGAGATGAGAGAGCCTAGAGAACGTTTTGGTGTTGTCATTTTTAGCTAAAGCATATAAAATCTCAGAATCATGATAGAATAAAAACTGACGAGAAGAATTCAAGTTAAGCTATATCTAAATTCTACTTTTTTCCTGGTAGAAAAGCCTACCACTCTTTCTATCTTTTCATCCTCTGTTACTTTCTCTAAGCAGAAAGTGAAGAATTGGGAAGAACCCAATCTTGATAAAGCATGTGGCAGGACCTACAGCAATGGCTGTTACTACACATATCCTGCAACTGGGGATACTGGAAATGGAGAACTACACATCCCATGGTGCCATCTTTCCTTGCTATACCACTAGTCATAACAAGGAATGAAGTTCTGAGGGCACTTTCTCTCTTTCTCTACTACACTTTGACACAACCGCAGGGAACCCAACTCCTAATGCCGAAAGCTGCGGTTCCCAAGTTCTTCTATGTCCCAACGTTTATTGCTGGTGAGGGTGATGGTTCATCCTCCGAGTTTGTGGGTTGGTTTCTGAACATTTTGTTTATTACTGGTCTGTCTGAATCTGGAGATTACCAAGGACCTATTGAGATACATTTTGGAATAGACTAAAAACCTGGATGGCTTCAGTTCTATGGAGATTAGATTCCTCACAGCAAGTTTAAAAGTTTAATGCAAACATTTGGATAACGGTATGATCAGTTCAATACTTACTGGTCCACTAATAGTTCCAGAGGCCAAAAGATCTCCTGGTCTGAGGTTGCAACCATTAACAGTGTGGTGAGTTAACTGCTGTTTCATGGTCCAATACATGTGCTATGTATCAAGAAGGAGAATTATAGCCATATAGACAAATGAACCGACATCAGTTTTCCATAGGTTATAGGAGAGATTAGATTAGAATAACGTTTTCTCTTACCTTAAAGTTTGACCTGCAAATATTTACCGGCTTGTTCATACCATCTCCTGAAAGCAAGAAAGACTATTAAGGGGATAAGGTTGTGCCCACCCTAAATTTGAACATGATCAAACACATGCACCAGGGAACTTTAATCTGCATAAGCACAAGTTAATTACATTTGCAGGATGTTTTCCTTTTCATAACTATTGGGCACTGATGACTTCCCTCTGAAATTCACATAATGTCTAGTAAGTTGTAATAGTATGTGGGAATTATCTTGGGAGATAAGAGGAAGAACAATGGTGTAGACAAGCAGCTAGTCCTGATAATGCTACCAAATTGGGTAATGAAATGCTTGAAAGAAAACAACCCAAAGAGCACCAAGGACCCCTCACTTCAATCCTGAGCTACAAATTGTCTCCTTTCTTGAGACTAGATAACCATCATGCAAAAGGAATCTCAGCCCACACAAGAAAAAAGGGCATGGGAAGCATCTCAGAATGTTCCCTCTCTAGTTCTCTAGGAATTAAAAGGAGGGGAGAAATATTTTCAGATTTGCAAGATTCTGTTACTGCAACTTTACAATAAAGGTAGTGTTAGTGATCACGGTTTGTGCTTTTTTGTCTGGACTACCTCAAAGGGTCTACCATATATCTAGGGAGTCACAGGATGGAGGTAGCTCCAAGCAAGAATCTTGATCTCTCTCAGGTCAGATCAACTGACTGGACAGAGGGGAGTTTTCTACATTCTCAACAAGATAGTATCATCCATGTTTTCAAATCACATGTCATGGTCTCATGAATTTGCTCCTTTGGAGCGCCACAAGTTGTAAACTGACTTGGAACCACAGCGTACCTACCTTTTATAGCAACAAAGAGGTTTATGTTGAAAGTATAAGGCTGGTCATCACAGAGGTAAGGCAGGGGCTTGGGGTCCTTGAAAGAATATAAGAAATATCATTCTAATAGCAAACTGGGTCATTAAGAGTGCTAATCGTTGATGGTTCATGCAACAGTCAGAAGCAGAAGCCAACCAAAGTACCTGTTCTCCATTTTATTATAGTGTTTAACTCTTGGTATATTACATTGTTTCAGTGAAGTGATGTTTGTATAAATGTAGGAGAAGGACAGGCAGAGTCTGGGGTGGAATCAAGAGAGGAATCTGCCTGGAATCATTGCATTCCCATAAGTAACCCAACTCCAGGCCCTCTTGAATTCTGTTTGCTCTTATCCAGAGCCAATTTAGTGCTGACCGTTAACTAGATTCTTGACATGAGCAATAAACCAGCTTAAGCAGAACATAACAGGTGATCCCGATTCATTTGTCTGACAATAAAACAATTTTCGATAATTGTTTAAAAAGCTTCAGATGCCCAAAACAGAGCACCAAGTTTTGTCAGTATTAATTATAATTTAGGATATCAATATTTCAAGCATAGAATTATTTAGCTTTCCACCCAGGGTTAAGAACAACATCAGAGTAAGAAAAAAAAATGCTGCAGCTCATATCAAAGTATTAGTTACATGTTAATAGTTTCCATCTTAGGCTAATTAGGTAATATTGAAACCTCCATTGTATTGTGCACATGAATATGTATGAACACATCTTGGATTAGTGTACTGAATGAAGCTAAACTGAACTTTGGGGAGACAGAATCTGGTCTGGTCTGGTATCTTGACTACTTTACGTTCATGGTGGAGTTTCATGTGTTTACACTTTGTACCAACCTGGATAGGATTTGGCAGTGCAAAGGGCATCAGGGCTTCCATGGTGACAACCCATGGAGAGATAGTGGTTCCAAAACTCTTGCCCAGGAATGGACCTAGAGGGACATACTCCCATTTCTGAAGATCACGAGCTAAAGGGGGAAAAAAGAGACAGAGAAACTGTCATGATGAAATCATCAAAATCTTGTCTAAAATCTCTAATTTGTTTGTAAGCAACTGAATTCTGAGTTCCATAAATGCATCTTATCAGAGAAAGAACGTGAACATAGATCCACACAGAGAACAGTACAGGTTACACATGTTTGAAGATTTCCAGACCTCTATAGATCCATAGAAATAGGTTCCACTTAATCTAAGGGTGCTTGTTTCTGACTGCGTAGATCCACTTAATCAGCAGAACAACTGATTAATCATTAACCAGTGGAACAACTTGCCTCCAGAAACTGTGGGTGCTCCAACAGTGGAGGTTTTTAAGAACAGAATGGACAACCGTTTGTCCAGAATGGTATAGAGTCTCCTGCATGAGCAGAAGGTTGGACTAGAAGACCTCCAAGGTCCCTTCCAACTCCGTTACTCTGTTAGTTTTTAGAACACGCTAAGCCCTATCGATCTACTTTTTTTTTGCTAGATAGCATATAATTTTAAAAATTAAGTGCTATCTAAAAATCTTCAGTCAGAATAATAGCTTGGTATTAAACCTGAACACAGTCGATGGCAATTAGACACAGTAGGGGATTTTCCATAACACCAAAAGTAAATGTCTCAGTACTGTAAGCTTTTAAAATGTTACTGGCATTTCCGGGACAATTATTAATTAACTCTTCACACAGATATAAGCATTGTGCCCTTAGATATTTTTCCTGGTACCCACAGCATTCTCTATTCCAGAAGATTTTTTTTAAATAAAATACTGTAATTTTATTTTTAAAAAGAGTGAAGATGTCAAATGAACTAGTATCTACAATAACTTCTACATCCACCTGTCAGTTATAGAAGTTGGGTCTTCTACTTCACTTTGTTCTCTAATTCATTCATTCATTCATTCATTCATTCATCTATCCATTCATCCATCCATCCATCCATCCATTCATTGATATAGCCGCCCACCTTCCAGCCAAATCTGGAAGCCAAATCTTCCAATCAAATCTTGAGCAAATCAGAAGATTTGTTCTGCCTTATGTTAGAATATTGTCTACTATCAAAGAAATAAGATCAATGGTTCATTACCACTCCAATCATTCATGAGGACCATCCCGAAGATGTGTTTGTGAGCTTCACCAATGGGGATGGGTACTCCAAGCTTGTTTCCAGGCCCCACGAAAAATGCCTAGAAAGGTAGAAGGAAAACTTTGTCAGACATATCAGAAAAGCACATCAGACAACTGACCTCGAGACAAAATGGGAGGGCTCTTGAGAATTCTTGATGAGAAACCTCAACAGGCAACAATGGAATAGTGAAGCAAAATCTCCATTATGATCCTCTTCTGTAATCCCTGCCTAGCCAACTCTGGAAACAGCCTTAAATCAATTTTCTGGATCTTGGAATCCCTCTTTCTCTTCCTCACATTTCTCTAGTAAATTCTACTGGAGGGGATCCAGAAATTACTATATAATTTTACTTTGCTCATGGATGCCCTTTGTTCTCTTGCTGCTTTAAATTGCAGTGTTTACCAAATGCTTTTTGTTGGAATTCATTGTTGGAATATATTTTTGTGCAACAACTACAATGGCATTCAGCCAGTAGAGGGCAGTATTTAAAAGTTTGCATCTATGGTATAACTCTTATATTCTTTTGTCCTAAGTAGAGTTTTCTGTTTCCTGTCATAGTAAAGCAGTTAAGCAGTAAAGCACATGGTGACTGTACACTTTATATATAAGCAAGAATTTCTAACATTTTTATCGCTTTATTTTAAATCAAGTTGTAGCTGTGTGTGTGTGTGTGTGTGCGCGCGCGCGCGTGTGCATATGTGCATGTATTAATTCAGGGGTGTCAAACTTGCCACGTCACATGACATATCATGACTTTTTCCTCATTGCTGGAGCTCGGGTAGGCGCGGTTTCAGCATGATGCATCCGGCCTGCGGGCTGGCAGTTTGACACTCCTGTATTAATTCAAAAAAAAAGGGAAAGGGGGTGTAGATAGTGGCAATGAAAGAAGAAGCTATAAGACAATACAACCTCACCATTTCTAATTCAATGTCCAAACGCTTGGAAGCAGCAACAAGGGGACTTTTACCTACGATTTAAACAGAATTCGTAAATGTGGCTTTCCTTAAAACAAGAAAAATTAAATACTGAAAACTGCAAGTAGAAACCTAAAAGACTCACTGTCATTAGGACACATTTGCCCCACTGGTCTTCTGATTGGGGTGCCAGATACGACAACAGAGGAAGCACGTCCATGGTACCCAACTGGTAGGTGCAACCTTGGAAAACATGGGTCATGTGTTAAAAGCATATCTCAGTTCTAATCTCTGGAGGCACATCTAACCATCTGTGGAATTGTCTGAGAGTGGTAGAATCTGCACATCTGTTCCACGTAGACCGTAAGGACCAGAACAGGTTTCTTCACCAATGTCTTGCCCTTGTGGTGGAATAATTTCCCGCCCATATGACAACAGTACTCTCTTCGTTGCCCTTCCAAATTCAGTGGGGAGAGACTGCAGTTTAAAGGAAACATCCAAATTATGGAATACCGTATATGCCGGCGTATTAGGCGACCCGGCGTATAAGACGACCCCCATCTTTATAGCCGGGCCGCATTCCTAGAACGTCGTCTTATACGCCGGAAACTACCAGTATTTCTGGTGTATAAGACGACTCGGCGTATAAGACGACCCCCGTCTTTGGCGCCGATTTCAGCGCTCGTGGAAGTCGTCTTATACGCCGGCATTTACGGTAGTGCTAAAGATTTTATAGGCTCTGTTGCTTTCAATGTTTTCTGGGATGATTCTTAAAGAAGTTTGCTGTGAGTCATTCCAAAACCATGAAGGAGGGAACATAAAAATTAACTGGACAGACAGACAGATAACTAGATTCAAGCCGCACAATCTGTGGACCACACAAATCTAAAATTTGGCCCCAAATCTTCTTTATTTATTCATCCCTTGATTTCTTTTTGCGGTCCACTAAGTGGACAGCAAATTACTATCCAACTGATATTTTCAGAACACTGATTCAGCTTCCATTCGATTAAGTTTGAAGTATAATTACATTACGCCTATTCCACTTTTTGTTCTGGTCCCAACAAAAGGTCAACCCCTTGAAAATGAAGCACCTAAAATGTAGACAATAAATTACTGCAGATATTCACCCAAATCAATCCAATAAATTTGGTCCCCTATATCGTGTACAGAGAGGGAAAGACAGTTACTGACCAATTGGGCATCAGTGCATTCTCCTTTCCTCTAAACATCATTCCAACGTTTGTAGCATGTTGCCGAGAGGAGTAGAAATCTGTGTAATCTCCTAGAAGGAAAATGAATGAATGAATGAATGAATGAATGAATGAATGAAGAGATAGATAGATAGACAGACAGACAGACAGACAGACAGACAGACAGACAGACAGAGTGGTGGGATTCAGCCAGTTTGCACCACTTCAGCAGAACCGGTAGCTAATTTGTTGTTGCCCAGGCCCAGAATGGACTTCCAGTAGTGGCATCCACACAGAGAACCAGTTGTTCACATATTTGAATCCCACTACTGGACGGACGGATGGACGGACGGGTAGATAGGTAGGTAGGTAGGTAGGTAGATAGATAGATAGATAGATAGATAGATAGATAGATAGATAGATAGATAGATAGATAGATAGATAGATAGATAGATAGATAGATAGGCAGGCAGGCAGGCAGGCAGGCATACCTCACAAAAGGTTGTGGAAAATAAGAAAGTTCAGATTCTATGGGACTTCCAGATCCAGACAGACAGGCAGGTATTGGTTAATTAATCAGTCAAACAAACAATCAATGTCTTAAAATAAGTTTGGAATTCCCCCCCCTTCTCCAATGACTAACGTGTATTTATTTGTTTTTAAAGGAACGTTTAATAAATACAATTCTTCTACTGCCCTCTGGCGTTCTCCAATGGAATCTCTTGTTTATTCTTATATTTGTATTTGCATCTTTGTCCAAACCCTACCCCTCCAAACAACACTTTTTCAGGTTTATAGTTCTCTTCCGCTTCATTGATATTATTACTGACTGTAAAAGGTATGTAGGAAGGCACATCCTTTTAGCCCCTTTCAAATCTGCTTTCACCAAGTCAGATCCGAGAAGCAGTCTCCGTTTCTGAACACAACACTCCAATAGTTTTCCTTGCAAGCCAAAATGTTAACTCTACAAGAAGACAACCGGGTTCAAGTCTTCTTTTATGTGCAGGAGTTTGCCATTTCGTTTATAAAGGCGTTTGAGTGGCAGATTTCAGAATCTGATCACTTTGCTCCTGTGTGGTTACAAACTATAGAGAGGCTATCCATTCAAAGAACTTACCAATTTGAGCTGGAAGATGCATTATTGCAAAGGCTTGCGGTATAAATGCTCTGGGGAGAAAGCAAAGGAAGCAGGACAGGCATTTTTATTTTCAAGAAATGATTCTTCTGACATTTCCATCACTCTCTACCACTAATACAAGGATTTTAGACTAACTCAGGCTGAATGTCCTCCACGTTTCCTTGGCTTTTAAAGTATAAATCACTTGTGCCAATAGAAGACAATATTTATAACTCGGGGTTGTCTATGGAGACTCTCAATCACAGCTGAAGAAGCTTCTTGGATAAGAAGCAAAACATCTTCAGAGCAAAAGAAGAAAGTCTAGGTGCCTCGTGGAAAAGCATCTTTGGGGTATCTTGGTTGTTTTCTTGCAGATGTTACCCAACTAAGTAACAACACTAATGCTAGAAGGCAAACCCCAATCCCTTCTAGCACTGATCAAGTTACCTAGTTGGCTAAGAAAACATCTGCAAGAAAACAATCAAGCTCAGAGGGCACAAATTACTCCTTAATATTCCCATTTCCAAATCTCTCTCATTTGCTGCAACATAGCGCTTAAACCAGACATGTCAAACACAAGGCCCGGGGGCCAGATGTGGCCCGCGAAGCCATCCTGGAAACAATGAGGGAACGGCCCCCGCTGCCTTGGCCCTGGCCCAGGTCGGCTGGGAGCCAATGTACAATTTTGTGAAATGCCATCTATGCTGAAATGCATGTAGTCTTAGCTCCACAAGGCTGTCCAGAAAAAGCAAGGAACCAGCCCCTGCCGCGTTGCCCCTGCCCCCTGGGTGCATGCTGGGGAGGTGTCACCCTTTGTGAGGAATGAAGAAATGGACCAGGCCTTGGCGCTTGTCCAGGTCCCACCCCCTTCTGCCAGAGACCCTCAGATCTGTCCCACTCCTGCCCAGGCCCCCACAGGCACCCTTGACACCAACGATGTAGAGCTGGCCACGCCCACCCAGTAGGCCACATCCACTCCATCCACACCCACCCAGTAGGCTGCACCCACCCTGGCCACACACCCCCGGCCCCCCCGAGGGCAACTGCAATGCTGATGCGGCCCTCAATGAAATTGAGTTTGACACCCCTGGCTTAAACTATATAGTGATGGACAACACTTAATATAGGCATGGCCTATTGTTTTTTTTCTGATCTTACCAGATGTTTTTGTTTATATATATATATATTTGCTTTTTATACTATAGTCCAAAAGAACTATGAGATAACACTAAGAAGTGACTTTGGCAGATATTTCTCTAATTCAGTGGAGTATAAGAAAGGGGAGGGGGCACAATAAAATTTGCAAGATTCTGTTATAATGGTCAATCTCAATAAAAGCAGCTTAAGCCCTCCTGTGGGGTTGATTTTTTGGTCAGGTCTACCTAGCATGGTTGACGTCAACCCTGCAAATCTGCCAATGCGGTGCCTCGGCAATAGAAGCTTCATATCTCCATCAAGGTAATCTTACTTACTCTTTACACACCATCAGAAATCAAGTGGGATGGTTAATGGCACAAATCAATAGTCAGTAAGTTAATAGAACAGTGGCTGAGACTGTTACTCTTGTCCAGTGAATTGCTGTTGAAGGGCACATTCTAGCTAGCTAACAAGCTAAATCTTTGATTCTGAGCTTTTGGAAACTGTATTCAAGTACCTTTTGCGTAATTCAGTATTATCTCTGAGGGTTGGTTCTTTGTCAGAGAGAATCTTTTGCAGCAATGTTCTGGCCTCTGTCCAAGCCTCCCAGCCCAACGCCATGAAAGCATTGAGGGTCGACTGCAATGAAGGTAAAAGATAAGATAAGATAACCTTTATTGTCATTTTTTTTTACTGTGGGCACAACGGCACACATCAAAAATGAAATTTAGTTGCCCGCTCTCAAAGTGAAACACATACATGACGCACACCTAAGCATACTATGAATAACATATGCATAGACTCACATCCCTACATATACGTAGCAAATAAATATTAAATACTGTCCATCTTGAATATATAACGGAAGGAGGAAGCTTGAGAGAAAGCATATCTTTCCAAGGCACTGATACAGGATATGGACAAGCCCCCAAAAGATCTCAATTCCAGCTGATTTGTCCACTCCAACACTAATGGAAAATCATGGAGGGATACCCTGCTAGTCATGCATGCAGAATGTAGGCTCTGCAGAGGGGTAGCTAAGGACTCTTTGAACTTTGAACCCACTCATGGAATCAAAGGATTATAGAACTAAAAAGAACAGCAAGCATCTAGTCCAATCTTCCTATGCAGGAAGTCCCATCAATCCATCCTCAAGAGGCGCCCAGCAATTTGTAAAAACCTCTAAGCGATGAACAGCTCACAACTTCTGCAGGTAGACTGTTCTACTGATCTTCAAAATTAATCCTGGTAACAAAATGTAACTAACTCTGTAGCTGACCACCATGTTTCAACTACTATGGTTTTCAGAAAAAGCAATATGCTGGCAAGCCCTGAAAAATCTAAGAAACCCACCAGCAGTTAAATTTGATGAAGACGTTCTATAAGATGGCTCTCCTAAAAGAAAAAAAAAAAAAAAAGATACCTGCTCAAAGACATGGCGTTGCTTTGAAAGGACAGGTCCATCAAATAGATGTTTGACAGCGCTGAGGTCTAGCACTTGATCACCAATTGCTACTCCAATCCTGTGTCTTGGCTGCAAGAGAGAGAAATATACACGAGGAGCAGAAATTTCTCAGCTGCTATTCCGATCTACCAAAGTAATTATCTTCATTATCCACAGCTCCCAAAACTGAATTGGGGAGAAGAGGGGTGTGGCATTAAAAATCTCACTCTGTCTCTCTGCAGATGAATCCCATCAAAAATAAATACAGAAAGAGAATTGGAGTTGAAGAGGATGACTCTTTTTTAAATTTTGAAATATCTCATCCCTTGAATGCTTGCTTGTAACTTCAGCAAACAGGAAAGTTAATGTATAACGTGCAGTGTAGAATTCAATTGCTCTGGTGCTTCTGATCTTGGTGACCCTCCGTGTTAGCTCCTCACTTTAAGGCTTTATGGCTGGCCAGCTGTTATTGTCAGAGAGGAATCATAGATTTAATATTTATACAAATCTTCTCCCTATTAGGACTCTCCCGGAAAAAGCAGAGGATTGGTTTTGAGTTTCTGTTAAATTAGTAACACAATTGTTAAGTAGATCCAGCTTCCCCGTTGACTTTTGCTCGTCAGAAGTTTGCAAAAGTTGATTGCGTGACCTCGGGACACTGCAACCGTCATAAATACAAACCACTTGTCAATCATCCGAATGTAAATCACGTGACAATGGGATGCTGCAAACTGTGAAAAATGGTGATAAATCATTTCTTTCAGTGCTGTTGTAACTTTGAACGGTCACTAAGTCAAGTTGTTATGTCAAGGACTACATGTATTTTATTAGCAGATTCATCAAGATTAGAAATCAGTTAAGAGAAGATTGAAAAGAGATGTCAACTTGACACTTTGAATGCAGAAGAAGGAGACCCAAGCAGAAATTGCAGCTTTATGAGAAGTTCTGTGGTCTAGGCTTAGCATTCTCAATCAATTAACATCCTTTGATACTATCCCAATGATCATTTAAGCCGCTACCACCAACAGCTACAATGTTATGGAAGTTAGTAGCTGTCTGGGTCGATTTTTAAAAGTGATTTTCACAAGCATGTTTCCTGACAATTAATGGCAGCATTGATGAGTTTCCCCTGATCGTTAAGGCTTCGCAGTGTTGCAATTTCCCAAGGCAAAGTGCCCGAATTGGATTCCCAGCACCCATCTGGATCAAGAGACTCAGAAGAAAACAAGAGAGATTAACTCAAAGTAAAAAAAGTAATTCGTTTACTTACTTCTTCCTGTGTGGAAAAGATTCCATAGGGCAGGTTTTGAATGGGGAAATGGGAATTCTCATCCACTGTAATAAAAGACATGCTGCTTTGATCTTTCACGCACAAAGGACAGAAAGAAATTCCCAGATGTTGCTTGGGTTGCTACACTCCCAGTGGGCCCCTCCTTTTTCAATGTGAAACAGCCAATCCGCTTCGTCTCTTCTATCCCTCCCTCGCTGAATTTGTAGTCTGCAAAACCAGGAAGTTAAACAGTACCAGATCTGCACATGATGCAACATCTGCAGCCTCCAAATTTCTGCCACATCTTTCTTCAGCGGATTCAAAATTTATTAAAGTGGACGAGAATTCCCATTTCCCCATTTCAAAACCTGCCCTATGGAATCTTTTCCACACAGGACGAGGTAAGTAAACAAATTACTTTTTTTTACTTTTAGGTAATCTGTCTTGAGATCAAAAGCGAGAATTTGTGATGGCTGAGAGATGCATCCAGCCCTGAGTTGCTGTATTAGTGAGATGGGCAGTGTAGAAATTTAATAATAAATCCTTCCCTAACCTCCCCCCTTCAAATAAACTTTTGTCTTAAGATTCTCACTTTTTGTAATGCTACATTATACAAAGTTTGAAACTGGCATGGTGGTTTTCAGATTTTCTGACCGAAACAACTCCATTGGAAAGATGGTTAAATGTTGTCAGGCAGAGTTCTTGCAATCTTCCACGTACGGACACTAGGTTCTTTTGAAATATGGGTTGTTTTTTTTTAAATGTCCACAGATGAATTCATTAATGTGTAATTGACCTTTCATTCAGAAGAGACCAGGTCACCTTCAGAAAGATACCCAATCTGGATCTAGAGGAGGAAAAACTTTTGTAGATCAGGAATCTATTCTTTTCCTAGGCAAAATCCTTGAGCCAGGAGCAGCCAATCAACTCCAGGTTGTTTGGAAGAAACTGATTTTCTTGATCAATTTCAATCTGTGTTCAGGCCGTTATGGAACAGAAAAACGTTACTCTAGGGATGACTTGTGCCAGCAAAAGTGAGGGTGTGACTCTGTTGACTCCTTTGGACTTCTCAACAGTTTCAGTAACTGCAAACCCCAGATCCTTCTAAGTAGGTTCTAGGATTTGTAATGAGGTATACTCTTACTCCAAACTTTCTTCTCCTACTTGGATACTCATTTCCAGGAAGTGGGTTATAACTACTATGCTTCCTGGTGGTTGGACTATGGGGTCCCTCAAGGCTCCATGTTGTCCTCTATGCTTTTCAGTATCTCTTTTTCATCTAATGCAGATTAGTCAGTTGATCTTCAGAGCCAGGGCTTGGTAGTGTAATGGACTGAATGATGGCTAATAAACCAGACTCAATCCACTGTTCCTAGAGGATGCATCAGCCCAGCTGAGTGATGGCCCATCATGCTGGAGAGATGGCTTGCTCTAAGGATGAAGGTTTACAACTTGGAGGTGCTCTTGCTTGGAGGAGCGCTTACCAAAGGCCAGGTCACCTCGGAGGACACAGAATGAAATTTGGCTGATGGTATTTTCTAATCTCAGGGCTCTTCGGCTAATGTATGGTTTAATATTTCAATAACGCAAAGCCATTGATAAAACTTTACAAACAAGAAATAGTTTGGCTCACACAGCCTAACCAAAGACAGAAACAAACCAACAAGACAATGACTTGCTGTGATATGCAACTTTTTTTTTTCTGTACATGCAGATTGCTTCCCTTGTGGCATATTATATAGCAGTGATGGCGAACCTTTCAGAGACCGAGTGCCCAAACTGCAACCCAAAACCCACTTATGCATCGTTGGGTGCCGGTTGGGCGTGGTCCATTGGGTGGGTGTGGCCCATTGGGTGGGCATGGCCCATTGGGTGGGCTTGGCTGCAGTGGTAACCGTTGACTGGGTGGGACTAAAAAGTTCAATCAATTCCAACTTTGTGAGATTTTTTTTCCCGCGAGTTGAAATTGATTGATTGAACCTTTTTTTTTTTTTGCACACGGCGGCAAAGGCCTAAAGCGAAAAGGTTTTATAAAACCCAGCTGAAGGCCTAGGACTGGGGCGACAGCGCGCATGCCCAGAGAGGGCTCTGCATGCCACCTATGGCACGCGTGCCATAGGTTCGCCACCACGGTTATATAGGATCCTCCCAGATTGGGTTGGTTAGAAAGGCTGTTAATGAACAAACAGCATTTTTGCAACTCATAACTGAATACACACAGAGTCATAGGCAAACAGTCAATCCTCTGTAATTCTTGAATCCCTGTTAAGGCAAAGGACTATAATTTCCTTACAAATATGCATTTCTAGAAAGGGAACAAAGCAAAGCTTCGTAATTCATTACTTACAGGAAGTCTTTATGCAACTGGATTCCCTTTATTACAAACAAGTTCAAATTCAACAAAGCATTTACGATCTGGGTCAATCGTTATAGAATACAGGCAGTCCTTGACTTATGACAATTGAGCCCAAATTTCCCGTTGTTAAGTGAGACATATGTTCAGTGAGTTCTGTCCCACAGCCATTAAGAGAATCGCTGCAGTTGTTAAGTTAGTAATCTGGTTGTTAAATGAATCTGGATTCCCCCATGGACTTTTGTCAGGAAGTCATAAAAGGGGACCGATCACGTGACTTGGGAAACAGCAACAGTCACAAACACGAACCAGAGGCCAAGCATCTGAATTTTGATCACCTGATTGTGGGGATGCAAAGGTCGTAACTGGGAAAATCGGTCATAAGTTACATTTTTCAATGCTGTTATAAACGGTCACTAAACAAACCATTGTTAAGTCGAGGAGGGCCTGCATAAAGAAAGCAGCATGCGCTGATATTGCAAATCCGGAACGTTTTTAACTATCTGAAAAGCTGCCCACAGAATAACGGAGCAAACTTGTTTTAATTCCAGAAGACACGCCTGGGTGAACGTCACTAGATGGCAACTCTTTTCTCCGGTGTTATCAGGTGTTCAGCACTGACTTTTCTTCACCAGAAATAAAAAGCACTGGACTTTGAAATTTTCTCTCTCAGAAGATTCGCATTCAACAACTTCAAAGCTCCAGGGAGAAAAATCGGGAGAATTCGGTGTTTTGTCTTTCATGCTTTCAGACAGGAAAATCAAAAAGACATCTCTTTCCAGAGCTGAGACATCTACAAAACCAGGAAAAGAGGCTGAAGTCGGAATAAATCAAATCCGCACCTATTGCCATATGCTCTTTCATGGCAGAAAAGCAACGGTGAAAAAAAAATTAAGGATACCGTTGGAGAGATGGGAAGGCCTGGAAAAAAACTGAAGAAAATGGGGGAAAAAAGGTTTTTTTTCCTGTTTTTTACCCAAAGGGCTTTGAAAAAAAACACACAAAAACAAACAAAAAAAACCCAAAAGAGCCCTGGTTTCCCCCCCCCCCCCATTTTTCCGTTGTGTTTTTTTTTTCCAGGCCTTTCCATCTCTACCTCTGGATAACCTGGAGGCTTTTCTTTAGTTGCACCAAAGTTGTAAAAGGTTGCACACACACTGTCCAGTGCTCTTGTCCTTCCTATTAACCACGTTCGTTTTAAGCTCACATTTCAACCCACAGGTAGTCCTTGGCTTACGACCACAACTGAGCCCACTATTTTTGTTGCTAAGTGAGACAGCTGAGTTTTGCCTCATTTTACCATCTTCTTGCTGCAGTTGTTAAATGAATCACTGCACTTAAGTTAGTAACACGGTTGTTAAGGGAACTGGTCTTCCTCATTGACTTTTGCTTGTCAGAAGGTCACAAAATGTTATCACACAACTCCGGGACATTACAACTGTCATAAATATGAACCAGTTGCCAAGCGTCCTAATTTTGATCACGTGACTACGATCGTAAGTGTGAAAAACAACTTTTTTCAGTACCATTGTAACTTCAGCCGCTAAATGAATGGTTGTGAGTTGATGACTTCCTATGTAGGTTTTTAATATGGTGAGAGGCTGTTGGTTTCCAGGGTGAGGGCAGGTTATCATATCCATTCAAAATTCTCCCTTTTCTTTTATTCTCTGAAAAAAGGAAGTCGTCTTGTTAAAAAGACCGGAACTGTTTCAAGTTAACCGGTGTCTTTATTGTCATCTGAATCCAGACTCACCTGGCTCAGTCCAATGTTTAAACGGGCTTTCCTCAAGGTGGATTCAAGTCGATACCGATATTCCTAATCAAATCTAATTTGCTTTTCTTCCATGCAATGAACTGCATCAAATTGCTTCTCGTCACATCCTTTTTCCAAGCCCGAAGGGGATACGACAAGCCAAAGGCAGCAACTGCCACTCCTCCATCCCAATTTTTAAAAATTTTATTTTAATCAAAGTTAAAGACGTGGGTGAACATAAATACAATACACTTAAAAGTTCTTCATTCTTTGTACTGGTGCGCGTAAAATACCCCATGAGCACAACTCCCCAGGAACTCTGCGAGCAAGCAAACTCTCAACATGCACGCTGGAGAAAATGAAAATAAAAATAAAAAGGAGGGGGGGGGGAAGAAGAGAAAAAAAACCCTAGAAAATAACCTTGAAGAGAAAAAAAAACACGCACTCTTTAAAATCTCAGCACTCTCTGACACGCTCAAACAGATGCATACATAAATAGTGGGTGCAAACAAGCTATTATGATAAACATGTGTATAAATTTTTGTTAAGGGAGATGGGAAACCAAGCAGCCTTAATGATTAAATACATTCAGTTATTGATTGCTAGTTGTGCCATACAAGGCATTATCGAAGAGGAAAAAGATGGGGGAAATTGTGCTGCAGAGAGAAAAAAGAAACGCTATATACAAAATGAACAGAAGTGCCTTGGGTTAATGCATGCACACGTTTTAGTATGAGAAGCGGGAAAAGCACGGATGCCTTCCAACGTAACTTGGAGAAAGCCCTCTGCACTCGATGTTTTTTTTTTTAAAAAAAAGATGATAATACTTTTATAGCCATGGTATCCGTTCATCAGTTCCCACTGGCCCATCTTCCTAGTGGACTCAGTTGTGTAGAGTTTATGTCTTCATCTGTAGGAACTAAAAATAAAGCACCCTGAAAAGAAAGGAAGTGGTTTGTTGTGTGCTTAAAAGAAGGAGGGGGAAAAAATTCTATGTTTCGGATGACATACATGCTTTGGGACACTTGTCCTGTGTTCTTGAAGTCTACGAGG